TCCAACATGTGCGCTGTTTGTCTCGGAAACCCTTTGGGCGTTGTACCAATGATCATCGCCTGGGGTTCCCCGCTGTTGAATCGATGACACATCGCCCCAATGGCAAAACATGCCTGGCAAAAATCAATGCCCCGTGGAATTCTGAATATTGCAAAGCAGTCGATGGCAAAACAGGCCGTGCAAAAATCAGTGCTCAGCGGAATTTTGAAAATTTCAAGGCGCTTCGTCTGTCAAATTCGTTTTTTTGTGTTTTCATTCCGCGGGCCAAGAAGTTAACAACCATGGCCTGCTAATGGTCGCTGTAGGAGACCCCCTCACTAACTTTTATGGTTATATCGTTCTCTAGTGTTCTCTCTCGCTCTCTCTCTGTCTCTCTCTCTCTCTCTCTCTCTTTGTCTATCTCCTGCACCAGGCCAACGCATGCCGATACGATACAAATCCATTCCCAACCAACACAAATGCCAATGCAATGCCAATGGGGGAATCATGTCGCCCGGTGGATTTCAATAAGAATCGAAACCAATTGCCCTAGCCAGCCAAACCAGCCAGCCCAACCAACCAGCCACCCAAACAATTCAACCGGCTCAACCAGCCCAACCAGCCACCCCGCAACCCCAGCCAACCCGCCACCCCGCCAACCCGCCCACCCCCGCCGCCTGCCCTCCGTCACCGTCGAGAGGGGGGGGAGTGTTTCTTACAAGCGAAAACCTTAAAAATTATCCTCCCGGGTCCGGCGGGACAGCGGGGAGAGGGAAAATCGCACCGTATTATGGGGGAGGGGGATGCGCGCCCGAGGTGCCCAAGGACGATCTGGGGCCTCAAGTGCGACGCTGTCGTCACGTTATTACCTTCGACCGCGCTCCCCTTCTCAACGGAAAGGCTCCCATCCGTGAAACTGTCGTCATTTTTCAGCCCCCGCGAGAGGCCTCTTAGAGGCCCCAGGAGATCTCCGGAGGCCCCCAGGAGGACCCACTCTGCACCGCGCCCCCCTTCTCAACGGAAAGGCCCCCGTGCGTGATTTTTGTTTCATCGTTCCGCCCCCGCGAGAGAGTTCTTGGAGGGCCCACAGGGGGCTCCAGGAGGGCCCATGGCGGCCCCGGGAGAGCCCACGAGATCTCAAGAGTCCCCCGGAGGACCCACTTTGAATTACATTCAGGGAGCTCCAGAGGGCCCACGGAGGCTCCAAGAGGCCCCGAAGAGCCCAAACAGGCCACAGGACCCCCAGCACGCTCTAGGAGAGCCAAGGCGACAGCAAGAGGCTCCAGGACGGGCGTCATTCCCTCTCGTCCTCCTGCCTGCTTCAAGCCCTTCCTCCCCCTCTTCCTCCTCCTTCTCCTCCTCTTTCTCCTCCTCCTCATCCTCCGCCTTCTCCTCCTCCTCCTCCTCCTCCTACCTCATCCGTAGCCTCGATGGCTACGATAGCGCCGTGCGCGAGATCCGCCTCCTCCCCATCGGTCCTCCTCCCTCCTCCCTCCTCCTTCCCTCCTCCCTCCTGCCTCCTCCCTCCCCCCCTCTCTGGGGAGCGTCACAAAGAGGCCCTCCGAGGATAATTTCACGACAACAAGGGTGCCGACACCATGAACAGACACCACGACGGGGCTCTGGGAACGGAGTCGAAGACGAAACCACGAATAACTTCGTCTTCGATATTCGGGGCATTTTTCTGACCACCTGCGAGCCTTGTGGAAACTTCCGAGAGCCTCAGGGGTGTTGGCGCAAGACCACGAGTGGAGGAGGAGACAACACGACACTCCACTGAGTAAGCTGCACCCAGTAGTATTGCCCCCCCGCGAGGGGCGTTACAGGGCACTTTGTGGATGGTGTCATTACGAATCCTTCTTCGGAGGATTTCAATAGCAACACATATGTGTAGGGTTCCGGTGGGGATCCTCATGTGGAGGGGATCATCATGTGTAGGGTACCGGTGGGGATTCATTCGGAATCGTTATTGTCGAGGGTTTCAGTAGGAGTCCGCCTGCGGAGGGAGCCACTCGGACTCGCCAGCGCAATGCCAAAGCAATGCCACAACTTTGCCATCGCCGCGCCAAGCCAATGTCAAGGCGATCCCAATTCAATGCCAATGCAATGCCAATCGGAGGTATACTTTTGCGGTGGGTTTCGATGCGAATCCTTCCGCGGGGGGGTCCCGTGCGAATCTTTTTTTGTGGGGGGGCTTTCCAAATTATCCCTTCTTGCGGAAGGTGAGGAATCTTTCTGTGGTAGGAGCCGCTCGAACTCGCCTGCGCAATGCCGAAGCAGTGCCAACGCCATGCCAAACCAATGCCACTGCAATGCCACTGGCGGGAATTGCTTGTGGTAGATTTCAGCGGCAATCCTTCCAAGACCCCATATTCGGGGGATTTCAATAGGAAGCCTTCTATGGACGGCTTCGCATGGAAACCTTCTCGTGGGGGAGAATCAATAGGCATCCTTTTTTTTTGCGGGGGTGTTCAATGGGAGCCCTTAGGTGTTTGAGTAGGACTCGCCAGCGCAATGTCGACGCAATGCCACCGCACTGCTAACGCACTGTCATCCCAATGCCAACGCAATGCCCATGCGATGCCAAAGCGTTGCCAAAACCAATGTCAACGCAATGCCGATGGCGGGACTCCTGCCTTCCAACAGATTCCACTAGGAATCCTTATGTGGACGATTTGGTTACGAACTCTTTTTGGGAAGATTTCGATCGGAATCCTCCCGTGGAAGGTTTCGATTGGAATCTTGTTGTGGGGTGTTCCACTTTGAATCCTTCATGTGGGCTTTCAAAAGGATCCCTTCTTGTGCAAGGTTCTCATACGAATCTTTCTGGGGAGGGAACCACTAGAACTCGCCAGCGCAATGCCAACGCAATACCAACGCAATGCCAAACCAATGCCAAAGCGATCCACATCCAATGCCAATGCAATGCCACGGGGGCAAATCGTTTGTGGTCGGGTTCAAGAAGAATCTTTCCATGGAGGGTTCGAATGGAATCCTTCCGTGAGGGAGTTCAATGTGAACCCTTTTTGTGGGATGCTTCAATCGAATCCTTCTTGTGGGGGTCAACAGGGATTATTCTGCGAAGGGAGGTGTTGGAACTCGCCAGCGCAATGCCAACGCAGTGCCAACGCAATGCCACACCAATGCCACAGCGATCCCAACCCAATGCCAATGCACTGCCAATGGGGGCGTCCTTTGTGATATATTTCAAACGGAATCCTTCTGTGGAGGGTTTCGCATGGAATCCTTTTGTGGAGGGTGTGAATATGAACCGGTTTTGTGGGGGGTTTCAATCGGAGTCCTTATTGTAGAAGGTTTCGATCGGAGTCCTTTTGTGGAGGGTTCCATCTGGACTCGCCAGCGCAATGCTTGCGAAATGCAAACACACTAGCAACGCACTGCCAAACGCAATGCCAACGCAAAGCCAATGCGATGTCAAACCAATGCCAAACCAATGCCGATGCGATGCAAATGGAGGGTTCTGTTTTTCGAAGCATCTCAAGATGAATCCTTTTGCGTGCGATTTCAATAGGAATCCATATGTGGAGGATCTCAGTACGACTCATTCCGTGGAAGGTTCGATAGGAATCCTTATGTAGAGGATTTCATTATGAATCCTTCTTGTGGGGGCGTTCTGTCGGAATCCTTCTAGGGGGGAGGGTCCATGAGGCCTCGTCGCGTTCCTTTGTTTTTGCCGCCGACCCCCCCCCAAAAAAAAAACATCAAAACAAACTGGTCACTTTTTTGGGGGGGGAGGGGGGGAGAGCGAAACAAAAAGGAGGAGGAGGCGGAAGAGGAGGCGCTTGCGAAATGCAAGCAAACTAGCAACGCACTGCCAAGCGCAATGCCAATGCGACGCCAAAACCATTGCCAAACCAACGCCAATGCAATGCCAACGGGGGGGGCTTTCTCAAGAAGCATCTCAAGATCAATCCTTCTGCGGGTGATTTCAATAGGAATCCATGTGTGGAAGATTTCAGTAGGAAACATTCACTGGAGGGTTTCGATCGGAATCCTTTTGTAGAGGATTTCACTATGAATTGTCTTTGTGGGGGGGCGTTCAACAGGAAGCCTTGTAGGGGGGAGAGCACATGAGGCCACGTCGCATTCCTTTTTTTTCGCCGCCGACCCCCCCCAAAAAAAACGGATCCGTATTTTTTTAGGTTGTGTTTCTCTCCCTCTCTCTTTTTTTTGGGGGGGGAGACAGAGGAAACACGAGGAGGAGGAGGAGGAGGAGGAGGAGGAGGGGGAGGTTGAAGGAGAGGAGGACGCCACAGAGTACGCACACCACTGAAAGACGCACGCGCGAACTCATGTGAAAGCCTCGCGCGCGCGCCCTGGAACCCCGAGGGGTTCAACAATCCCCCGCTCTCGAGGAGGAGGAGCAGGAGGAGGAGGAGGAGGAGGAAACGGAGGAGAGGCGCAGGAGGAAGAGGAGGCGGAGGAGGTTGGAGGAGGAGGAGGACGAGGAGGGAGGAGAGGAGAGAGGAGGAAAGGAGGAGGAGGAGGAAAGGGAAAGGGAGGAGGAGGAGGAGGAGGAAAGGGAGGAGGAGGAGGAGGAAAAGGAGGAGGAGGAGGCAGGAGGGGGAGGAGGAGGCGGAGGAGGAGGCGGAGAAGGATGTGGAGGAGGAGGAAAAGGGGTCGGAGGAGGAGGCGGAGGAGGAATAGGAGGAGGAGGATGGGGAGGATGAGGAGGATGAGGAACAGGAGGCGGAGGAGGAGGAGGAAGAGGAGGCGGAGGAGGAAGAGGAAGCTGAGGAGGAGGAGGAGGAGGAGGAGGAGGAAAAGGAGGAGGAGGAGGAGGAGGAGGAGGAGGCGGCAGAGGAGGAGTCGGCGGCAGAGTAGGAGGAGGAGGCACAGGAGGAGGAGGAGGAGGAGGAGGAGAAGGAGGAGAAGGAGGAAAAGGAGGAGAAGGAGGAGGAGGAGGAGGCGGATGAGGAGGAGGAGGAGGCGGAGGAGGAGGAGGAGGAGGAGGAGGAGAACGCGCTGGCCTGTGCATCGCCGCGCGCCTGCCCTCCCAGGCGCGCCTCACCGGGCTCCTGGCGCCCTCGCTGGGGCAGGCCGGCCCTCGCGGCGGCGGCCCTCGCGGCGGCCCTCACGGCGGCCCTCGCGGCGGCCCTCGGCGGCTCCGGATGGCCCTCAGCAGTTCCCGGCGGCCCCTGGCGACCTTCGCATCCGCCAACGGCGGCCTTCGGCGGCGGCGGCGGCGGCGATGGCCGCAGCGGCCTCGCAGTGTGCCAGGCGACGGCGTCGAGAGAGTGCAGGGTGGAGAGGAGGTGAGGGGTTGGGCTGTTGCTTCGCCGTTTTTTGGAGGTGCAGGGGGCTTCTCGTCGCCAAGGCTGGATTCTTTTGAAATTCATGGGATATCATTCGCCTTGCAAGATGGTGTGTGTTGGGGGGGGGGGCAGGTCGGGGAGTACCATGATGGGGAGGAAAAGAGTAAAATGAAAGATAAGAGGATACAACATACATATACATATATATATATATATATATACGTATAAGAGAGTTGGCTGCGTCCTGAAGGCCGCAGTCCGCGTCCCAAAGGCTGCAGTCCGCGAGTGGGGAAGAGGATTATCATTCAGATACGTGGGAGGAGACGGAATAAAAGATGGGGAAGAGTAACTGGAGGAGGAGGAGGAGGTGGTGGGGAACAGCAGAGGAGGACCTCAAGCCGCCGCCCCCTGGATCTTCGTGTTCCTTGGCGAGGCCGGGACCATCGACGGTTCGATGGCGCGAAGTGCGAGGTCGGCCTCACGGAGTACGACTACCGCATTGGGCTGCATATTCTGATAATCCTCTCATGGGTTGCATGGGGATGCGTATGTTTGGGGCACTCTGGCGGAAGTGGCGCCGGAGAGTTGTTAAGGATCCACCTCGGCAGGGACGAGCACCAGTACAGGGGGGACGAGCAGCCCGAGTCTCGGGGAGTGGAGAGTGGGGCTCCACATCAATTTTCCTTATGAGCTGAATGACGTCCACAGCGTCTTGGGGAGTGCAGAACGGGGCTCCACATCAATTTTCCTATGAGCTGAACGACGTCTACAGCGACCCGCTGTACGGAGGAGGAGGCGGCGGGGGAACGGCCACCACCCGCAGGCGCCGAGAGGCGCAGACCATGAACCAGAGGTTGGAAAGCTTGTCGGCTGCACTGGCAGAACTGCAGGCTCAAGTACGACCCCATCGGCCCGCAGGCCGAGCTAGCAAACGTTCGTAGGATCTGCCCGTGGTGGCCCACTTGAAGAAGTTGGCGGTCAACATGACGGGGAGATAATCTACCACAGCGATCGTTCAGAAGCTGAAGCAGGTGGTGAAGCAGTTCGGCACAAACCCGACCACGGCGGAGGCCGACAGGGAGAAGGAGAAGGAGAAGGAGAAGGACAAGGAGCAGCCGAGGCCCAAGCTTTGGGCTGCACCTTGGGGTGACACCGCCACTGTGGCGGCGAAGCAGGTCCAGTCTTTCTGCGCGGCGAACACTAGCCCCGTGGTGGTCGTGGCCTGCAGCGAAGCAGCATACGAGTCAGCCGAGCGAGTCCGCCGTGCCCACGGCCATCGCCAGAATGTGCTGTCCATCATAATCGACCCCAAGGGGGACGACGAGGTCCTCATGGAAGGGGACAGGGGCCCCGTCAAGACGAAGGCCAGGATGGTCCAGGCGGGCGACCATGCGCCCAAGCGAGCCAGCTTGCCCAAGAATATGTCCGACGACAAGCCGATCGAGTCCGAGAGATTCAAGCCCATCTATTTCAGGATCGCAATCCCCAACTACTACGCAGACGAGGGTGCCTACGCCCAAGCTGCAGATGACCCCCGCCAGCTCCCGCCCACGGTGTTGGGATCTGAGCTGGCGGCGCTCATCCAGCGGGCCAGGGGCGCAGTGGCCTATTGACAACGAAGTGACTGCAGTGGTGTCCACGACAGAGCAGCACGCCGAGAAGCTCACGAAGTACATGCCCCCCATTGGGTGGTTTTGTCATGCCACAGGATCGCAGCGCCACAAGGCCCTCGACGGCCAGGTGGTTTGCGCGGGAAGCGGACGAGACGGAGGGCGACTACTACAAGCGGGTGGTCGCGCTCAAGGGAGACGGGAGGCTCATCTACCGCCCACAAGGTAAGTCGAAGCTCGGCATCGTGGGGCGTTCCCAACTCTCTGCAGGTGCTGCTGATGCTGTGCGTTGGTTTCTGAAGCACAGCCCTCCTCAGTGGGCCCAAGAGTCCGAGGTGGAGACTTGGGCCATGGAGACAGGATTCACGCACATCCGAGATATACGCCGACAGGGAGTTCGCACATGGTCTGTCTTCGCGGACGCGCCTGCTGATGCCAATTCTGCATGCCATACGTTCGCCTCAGGCACGGTGGTCAGCCGCGCTTTCAGCAATAACGGGGGAAAGGACAAAGACAAGCCAGAGACGAAGGAGAAGCCTGCAAGTACGCGGGGGCCTGCCAAGCCTCCAGTGCAGTTCTAGCAGTTCCCGAAGGATGAGGAGCCAAGCAGTCAGCCTACACCGGCGGCGCCAGCTGCCCCCGCAGCTTCAGCCGCGGCAGCGGCGGCGGCGCCTGCCCCCGAGGAGGCCGACGAGCGCTGGAAGGGCCCCGACGGCAAGGTCACCAACCACGCCTTCGGCGCTCCCTTCGTCAAGTACACGCGCGCCCGCGAGTGCGACGGCCAAGGCGACTGCTTCTTAATTGCAGTGGCGAAGGCCGCCCACGCGCTCAGCGGGAGTACCAGGAAGCCTAAGGAGGGCGACTTCGATGCAGGAGGGCGCCCCCAAGCAGCTCCACGCCTGGAAGTGGGGAAGTTGGAAACAAAAAAGACGCGAAAAAAACATGTGAGCCCTCCCGCGAGAAGATCGCGGACAGTAGCGCGCCAGCCCCCAGTCCAGCGGTCCGCATGTTGGCCGAGGCGATCAACGCGGACATCTATGTCTGGGCGAGGCTCAAGAACACCACCCAGTGGGCGCTCTTCGGCCGCGAGGCAGGCAAGAAGTCTAGAAAGCGGGAGGTCTGGCTCAAGCTCGAGGATAAACGCCGCGAGTTTTTGGTAGCCAAGAAGGCCGACGACGAGGACTTCAAGAGGGTGCTTGAGACGTTGCGCTCAAAGGCCGACCCATGCCCCTCCGACGGTCTCCGAGGTAAAGGTCACGGTGATGATGCAGTTACTGATGTTTGCTCTCTCCTGGGTATTCGGAGAAGCGCTCCATCCATTGCGTCCTCGCGAGTTTCGAGCGCGGGGGCACCCTCGCGCCCAGGATTTACGATAGCCTCTGAGGAGAGGCCCGCGCTGGGCCTCAAAGGCGACGAGAAGGGGCCAACGACGACGACGCCCAGATCTAAGAAGTCACAGCCTGCGCGCCCCCCACCCCCAGCTCCCGGGGAGGGGGGTGCCGAGCTGCCCGATTTGCTTTACACGCCTGGGCGCTACCTGCGCTCCCCGACCAAGGGATGCGGATGGTCCCCAGATGGCGCTGGCGCGAATGCACGGCGCCGACAGGCAGTCTTGCACTGGCCTACCTGCCGTGGCTACGACCCCCCAGGACGCCGAAGTCCGACGTGAACGCCAAGGCCCGCGCCGCTTTGCGCGCGCCCGAGCAGAGGGAGAGGAAGATGATGCAAAGCTGGACAACTTATGCCAACTGGCGCGCTGCGCTTCCCGAAGAGATTCGGGCGGGCATTTGCGAGCTCGGCGGCAACCGGCTGGAGACAAAAGACTTCGAAGCTTTTGATCTTGACATGCTATAGGCGCAAGCGCTGCCGCGAAGCCTCCACGCGCCACGCCCCGAAGCCGAACTTGATCTGCGCGAAGAGACCGAAGCACATCAAGCACGAGACCCTGATCAACTTCCTCCTGCCCGAGATGAGCCAGGAGCTTCTCCGCCGCAAGCGGCTCAGGGACCTGGGCATCGCAAAGGGGCGCCGCCAAGAGCAGGAGCCCAAGTTCGTCGCGCTGGTGTGGAAGTGCAACGAGCAAAAGAAGCGCTCCAGAATGCCCGTGACACAGCCCCCCTCGGGATGAGACTGCGGCGCATCCAGCTGGCGAAGGAGGGGCGCCGCGAGAAGAAGGCGGCCATGGAGAAGGATGCCAAGAAGAAGATGTCAAAGAAGATGAAGGCCGTCACCCGCCAGCGGCGGGGCCCCGCCCTCAGCCGAGCCCTGGCTGAGGGGGGGGGGGAAAGGGGGGGCGACCTTGGATGCTATGATGCGCTGCTGGGAGGCGGACTTACTCGTCTCCGAGCGGCGTCTGCAAATGCTACGTTGCGACGCAAAGATCGTCTGGAGGAGGAGATACTGAGTGTGGCGGAGGACTTCGACGTCATTTGCCTGCAGGGAACTCGTCTGGGCGATGTTGTTATTGCATGGGCTACCCAGGCGGCGTTGCGGACGGGGTGGGGGATCGCTTTCTCTGCGCCACCGCCACGTTCACCAGCGGGCTTGATCAATCACGGCGGGGCCGCGATTTTGCGGTGGCCTTTCCCTGGGCATGTTGCTGTGCGTCGTGGCCCTGGTCATCGTTCTATGACGATTGTTACCTAGCATTGTATCATATGTTCCGCTGATGGCCCTGCACAGGCAGCTGGCCCAGGATGGCGGGGCTCTCTTCTCGCGCGCCACCGCGAGCTTACTGCGAAGGACACCTCAGATCCGAAGCCTTAGTTGGATTTCGGAGATCTCAACTGGCGGCGCGTCTATGCCGACCTGCCCCCGGCTACGTTGTCTTCGCGCACACCTACTGCCACTTCGACTGCGGGGGCACCCCCCGCGCGAGGGATTGCAGCGCAGTGCGCCCTCGACGCCGTCAAAGTTCAGCTATTGTCCGCAGTTGCTCATCACGGATTGGCGGTGTGCGACGCATCCCTGGAAGTCACTCGCCGACAGACCTCGCGACCGCGAAGATGCAGAGAATTTAAGGCTGGCAGCCCCTGCCACGAGTCGGAGGCCGACGACGTCGTCCTCGACGAGATTGAGGACCCAGCGGCCGCAGACCTAGCTCACAATTCCCCGATTAAGCCCCACCTGCCGCCGACTTGGAGGTGGACGCGGACGCGCTGAAGAAGTGCTGGACAGTTTGGCACAGACGCGCTGAAGGCTGCCTCGACCACGCATGCGATACGGGCCCGGCGCCCGCTGAGGGCAGCCGCGAGAGGGTGAAGGCCGCCTTCTCTCCTCCAAGCCAGTAGCCTTCCGCCCTGCCAGACGCCCACCAGAACCAATTCCCCTTGCCCGACTTCGCCGCCTTGGCCGCCAAGTCGTTGTTCTTCTACGACGTGGCCATCATCTGCCACTCCCACCACACCTCCTGCGCCGATCGCGGGGCCTGGTGACGTCCAGCATCGCAGATGCGTTCCCGGCGAACACCCAGATCACCATCGGATACCCCCACGAGGCCATCGCCAAAGTCATCAGCAAGTTCGAGAACACCTCGAAGATTGAGAACACCAAGAAGTGGAAGCATAAGTTCTCAGAGGAGCACTGGACCGCGGACTCCTGGAGAGCTACCTCACGCATCATGCATCCTGCCACAGAGTGCCCCGCTTTCACGGCCGACAGTATGACGTCTGATTTGGGGCGGACCTGGTGCCCTGGTGAAGGCTATGACGAATCCGAAGACGTTGAGCAGTGGACATGGTCTGCCACGCAAGTTCAGAATAGACCCCCGGTAAGTGAATGCGCCGCCGACTGGAGCCCCACCGTCGCCGACTTGCAGAGACCCATTCGCAAGACGAATGGTAGCGCAGGGTTTGACGGCTGGACCGCCTCCGAGCTGAAGCTGATCAACAAGCTCTTCCCGTCGTCGACTCGCGAACTCCACCTCCTGTGGACCACGAGTACGCAGTACCTACTTCGAGTTCAAGTACCTGACGAAGAAGTTGCACGCCTCCTCGTTGCATGGCGTGTCGCTGGTAATCCTAAGAGCCATCGCAAAGTAGACCCGTTGGAGTTGCATCTGTGATGTCACGTATCTGGTTGATTGCATGCGACCCAAGTTTACCCGCTCCTCCTGCAGAACCACACGCCTGCGAAGCTGAAATATCCGTGGTAGCAGCCTGCTGCGAATGGTTGCACGCGCGTGAACGTGGAGGTTGTGGCGCTGAGCGCTATCTAAGTAAATTTTGTGATAATGTATCGCATGCAGTTGCAGAGCGCGTCCGACAGCGAGGTTGAGTTCCGCTTCAAGCGCAGAGAATATGTCAAGCAGCGTGGAAGGGACCTCGACAATGCCAAGTTGCTGCAGAAGTATCGGAGCGCGTTTCATGGGCGACCCGTTCTCTTCCTCAAGGGTATACAGCAGCCCCCGAGACTTCATGCCAAGTGCTTGCGCCCTGGAGCATCGCAGGCCAGAAGTCCTTATTCATGGATGACCGCTCGACGGCACAAGCGAGCGCCGAGATCCTGGAGTCCGACCTGAGTGCGACGGACTTCTTCGACACGCAGACGGGGGCGACCGAGAACGTCGAGAAGCGGTAGGTGTGGGCCAGGGGCCAGCACAAACGCATCGAGCACATCGGCATCCTCGCTGTCCCCGACGACCCACATCAAGATATCGCATTCAAAGCTGTGGCTCGACTCCGAGACGTACCAGGTGTTATTGCGATTCGGTGTAGAGTCGGTCAAGCGCATGCGAAGCCGTCGTGGAATTGGCGTTGCCCAGTCTTCACCCTTCCACCAGTCGTGGTGGTGCCGCGGAAGGTTCTGGGCCAGTCATGTACATCTACATCCTATGTATAGCACGGTGCTTCTGGCCGTGGAGAAGACCACGACATGGGCGTTGACATGGAGTGGGTTCTTGACGAAGAATGTCAATGATTAGTTTGAGAGTGTGGGCCTGGAGCACGGCAGATATGATTCCGACAGAGGTTTTCTTTTCCGACGAGCTGCTGGAGAACATGACCCACTCGTCTCGAGGGTTTTGGGGGCCCGCCGTTATGTACGGACTGACAAACCACACGCCGGACATCTGCTTCGACAGGTTTGTCGTGCACGCGCGCTGGCCTCGGTGAAGCGCACGCGCCAAGATGCTGAAGCAGCCGAGGATATTGATCTGGAGGCTTCGTCTATGAAGTCCTGGTCCGAGTTGAGGGCCCAGCTCACCATCGAGGGCACGTCCCTTTTTTTAGAGATTTACCGAGGTGGAGCGGTCTGGACCCCAACCCGAAGGCAGGATAATATCATGCAGTGCGACTTGTGTGGGTTGGACGCCAACCCGAGCATGCGTCGTGTTGTTGCTGGGTGCTCCTACTTCGCTATTGTGAGGAGGGGGATTTCCATGAAATATACTATCCAAAGTCCTTGGTGGGGCCGTCATCCCCGATGCTGTACGAAGACTGGCTGGATCACGATGCCGAGTGGGCGTGCCACGGAGCGTCGGGCATTGTTGCAGGAAGTTATTGCGAAGTTGGCTATTCATGTCATGAAAGTGACGCGGGCGGCATATCCCAGGGAGTTTCTGCATGCTTAACGTCGGCCTGGCCGTCCTATGTGTGACGTGTTGTACGCAAACATCATGACCGGATTCGAACCTGCGGTCGGTTGTTCCTGAATTACATCGTATCTACAACAGCAGAGGAGATGAAGCAGGATGCCGAGGATGACATCAGAGGAGTATGTGTGGAGAGGAGGGGAGCAGGTGTGGGAATGAAGAGGCGAGGAGGATATTTAGGGGATGAAAGGTGTGGTGTTAGGGGAGGAGGCTGACGCAAGAGACTTGTTGGGGGGGTCGAGTTTGCCATAATCGTCCCAGTCTAAGCCTCGACTTAACCGAGGCGCAACATGTCGGTCACACCTGCCACTTTCCCGAGCGCGGGTGGCTATTTTTCGCCAAAGCATGCACGGCGCGGGTGGCGTTGCAAGCCACTCCACCTCTTCCACTCCTCCTCCTCCTCCTCCTCCTCCTCCTCCTCCTCTTCCTCCTCCTTCTCGTCCTCCTCCTCCTCCTCGTCCACGTTGCGCAAGCGTGAGTTCTACAAGGCAGATGGGACAAAAGAGGCGGGGTGCTCCCGATGGGGCCACGAACCGCCATGCGACTCCTGCCGCTGGGGCTTCCGGTGGAACTCCCCACGGGGTCGAAAAAAGGGGACGGCCGCCATGAGACTCCTGCCATTTGGGCCTTCGGTGGAGTTCCCTATGGGGCCACGAACCGTGGGAGGAGTGTGCCGAAATGGACACCTGGCGAGCAGCAGCAGGAGCAGGAGGAGGGAGGAGGAATGAGGGACGCGGGGCGATGCGTCTTCAACGCGAGGACCCGACACCACGGGATGGTCGGGAAACAACGATGTAAACATAAACTGTCGGAGGTCGAGGCAGATTTCTTGGATTGGCGCTGGACCCCTGCCAGCGCAGAGCGCGCCAGGGGTGGCGCTGCCGCCGCCAGTGGGCCCATCGCCCATCCAAGAAGTTCGCGCGGACCTCCGAAAGATTATTCCCCAAACAGAGCTTGCACACGCTGCCGCCCGTGACCACCTCGTGGCCGCCTCGTGCGCCGGCTGGGTCCAGCGAGGTTTCGCGCGTCTTGGCCCCCTCTCGTTTGCTCTACGCACACTGCTGGTCCGCATTGCTGACGCCACATAGCTTGCACCAGATAACTTACTGTTTGGGCTCCGCGCTGGCCAACGGATCCTGTAACCTCTTGGCTGCGAGGATAGGACGAGCAGGGGGGATGAGAGCAGATGGGAGGGAGGAGGAGGAGGAGTAGGAGGAGCAGGAGGAGGAGGAGGAGGAGGAGGAGCAGGAGGAGGAGGACTTACTCTACGTGTAACGATTTTTTGCTCCTGGATCCTCGACGTCTGGGCCGTCCTCGACCGCCGTCGGCGGCCAGCGTCGCGGCGGACGGACCGCCGGCGAGCCCCGCTGCGTGAGGCGCGCGTGAGGGCGGGCGACTTCCAGCGCCAGTGCGACTCGCTGAGGGCTCGGCTGCACGCCTGCGCGGGGGCGTCCGCCGCCCCGCCCCCCGCCTTCGGATGGGCGTCGTCCGGCCGATCCACGTCCCCAGATCTGAAAGAGCGTGTTCTACCGCTGCTGGCGGAAAACCGGGGGGGGTCACTACCGGTTCGAACCCCTCCCCCCCCCCCCCCCTCCAGAAAACGGGGGGGGGTCACTACCGGTTCGAACCCCTCCCCCCCCCCCCCCCCCCCCTGCTCATCATGAAAAGGGGGGGGGTCACTACCGGTTCGAACCCCCCCCCCCCCCTCCCGGAAAACCGGGGGGGGTCACTACCGGTTCGAACCCCCCCCCCTCGAAAACCGAGTGGGGGTGCGGACAGTGGTGGGGACGGTGTTGGTGGGGACAGTGGTGAGGGGACAGCGGGACAGTGGTGGGGACAGTGGGACAGTGGGACAGTGGTGGGGACGGTAGTGGTGGGGACAGTGGTGGGGACAATGGTGGGAACAGGGGGGGACAGTGGACAGTGGTGGTGACGGTGGTGGTGGGGACAGTGGTGTGGGGACAATGGGAATGAGGTGGAAACAGTGGGACAGTGGAGGGTACAATGGTGGTGGGGACAGTGGTGAAGGCGGTGGCGAGGACGGCGGTGGGACAATGGGACAGAGGTACAGTGGGGACAGTGGTGGGGACAGTGGGGACAGTGGTGGGAACAGTGGGACAGCTCAGTGGGACAGCGGAGGAGTCAGTGGGACAGTGGGGACAGTGGGGATAGTCGGGCAGTGGTTGGGGCCGTGGAGACAGTGGGGAGAGTGGAACCGTGGTGGGAACAGTTCTGGGGACAGCGGGGACAGTGCGACAGTGGTGGGGCCACTGGTGGGGACAGTAGGGGCGGTGGTGGAACCAGTGGGGACAGCGGTGGTGAGGACAGTGGTGCTGGGAACACCAGTGGGGGATGTGATGCGGACGGTGGTGGGGACCGGGAGTCGTTTGCTGGCGGTGAGTAGGGGGGGGGGGGTGGGGGGGGGGGGGGGGGGAGGGGGGGGGGGAGGGGGGGGCGGGGGGGGGGGTTCGAACCGGTAGGACCCCCCCCGGTTTTCCGGATCCGGAGGGGGGGGGGTGGGGGGGGAGGGGTTCGAACCGGTAGTGACCCCCCCCCGGTTTTCTAGGGGAGGGGGGGGGGGGGGGGGGAGGGGTTAGGGGATGGGGGGGTTTTTTGCCGGGGAGGGGGGGGGGGGGGGGGAGGGTTCCCAGGGGGGGGGGGATTTTCGGAGGGGGGGGGGGGGGGGCGACCCCCGGGCTCCGGAGGAAAAGGTTGACAATTTTCCACAGTAAAGCGGCGGTGGATCACGCTCTCTCCCAGATCTCAACGGCACCGTAACGGGTACTTACTAACGGGTACTTTGAATTTTGCCGAAAGCTGCCACTTTAGGGCCTCTTTCTTGCATTGCAGCTCTGCCCACATCGGGAAGGGTTGGGTTCGCGGGGTCACTGGCCAAAGTACCCGTTAGTGGAGTCCCCGTTTGAGGGGCGCTGAAGATCGCCGAGGAGGCTCGTGGGGTCCTTCTTGGCGTCTGCGTCGGCGCCCCGAGGTGTCCCGGCCTCGGGGCGGGGTCTTCCGCGGCCGCGCCCCGCGGGGAGCGTTCCGGGGGGTGCCTGGATGGTCCCAAACGCCCGCCGAAGGCCGACGGACGACGACACTACCACGAGGACGACGACGACGACGACGACGACGACGACGACGACGGCAGAAATGACAACGACAACGATGACGAAAACGACCATGTGATGCAGCAGTGTGCCTTGACCGTCATTCGTTTCTCCCCAATCGGCATCGTCTGGCCGACAGTCGCAATGGAGCAAGCGGGTCCTGAAAGGAGCGGGGCCTGAGGTGTTTTGCCCGTCTTCGGAAGATCTCATCGTTTTCTGCGGGTGCTCCAGCCACGGGATGCGTTCCGGCAGATGCCCCTGGACGAGAGAGCTTTCCGGGGGTGCCTGGATCCTCCCAAACGGCCGCCAGAAGCCCGAGTTTTTGGCATGAAAACCCACACCTCCGACGACATGTGTTTTTCAATCGGGCGGCCTTCCTCGATTTCGGCCTCTGAGGCCCCTTGTCGGGCCCCAGGGCCATCAAGAATGAACCCCGGGCGACAACATGTCTCTGGGAACTGGGAAAAGGGGTCCTGGAGCGCTCGGGCCGCGCATTGAACAAAGACGACAACAACCAGCAACAACAATAACAAAAATACGATCAAGACTATTCGCTCTTATCTGCTCGAGAGTCATTCAACGTGTATTTCCCAAACCCTCGATACCCGCCCTCTTCGTTTTCGATCGTACCATTTTTGGGGGGTCTATCTTTCTACCCTGCAGGCCGGGCCCTGGCAATCGGCTGGGCGGCCGCGGACCGTCGGCCTGGCCAGCGGCAGCGTTGATCGGCGGCAACCCGGCCCCAAGAGGGACGGACAGGAGACCGACCACAACGACGACGACGACGACGACGACGACGACGACGAGCGAAAGCGAGAGCGAGAACGAGAGCGAGAGCGAGAGCGGGGCCAAGAAGGGCAGGAAGGGGGCCACGAAGGGCGACAGCAGGGCCAATAAGGGCATGCGTATGGAGCCACGAAGGGCGCGAACGAGCGGGGGCCACGAAGGGTTTGCTAATGCGGGGCCACATAGGGCAACGACGGGGAAACTGAGGGTAGCAACGAGGCCACGTAGGACAACGAGGGGGCCGCAAAGAGCGACGCCAGGGCCGCGAAGGGCATGCATTTGGGGCCACGACGGGCGCGAGCGAGCGGGGGGCCCGAAGGGCGAGCGCATGTTGGGTCGCAGAGGGCAGCGACGGGGCCACTGAGGGTAGCGACTGGGCCGCGTGAGACAGCGAGGAGGCCAGGAAGTGCAGCGATGGGGGCCACGAAGCGCAGGCGCGCGGGGCCACGACGGGCGCGAACGAGCAGAAGCCGCGAAGGGCTGCAACGGGGCCGCGAAGAACAACAGCGAAAGGCCACGAAGGGGGGCAACGGGGCCACGAAGGGCAGCGAGGGGGCCACGAAAGGCTGCAACGGGGGCACGAAGGGTAACGATGGGGGCCACGAGAGGCTGCAACGGGGCCACGAAGAACAACAGCGAGGGGGCCACAAAGGGCTGCAACGGGTCTACGACAAGGCAACGAGGGGGCCGCGAAGGACTGCAACGGGTCCACGAAAAACAACAGCGAAGGGGCCACGAATGGCTGCAACGGGGCCACGAAGGACAGCGAGGGGGCCATGAATGGCTGTAACGGGGCCACGGAGGGCAGAGAGATCCCGATTCCTAAGTAAGCTGCGAGGGAGTCCTAAGCGTGAGCGGGACTCCTGGGCGCCTGACTGTCGGGAGCGCGGCGCTTGAGTAAGATTGCGTGGATTTTCAACGCAAGAGCGCGCTCCTTGAGTAAATTACAAGCGCATCTTGAATGAGAGCGCGACTCCAGAGCGACGAGAGAGCGACTCTTGAATAAATTGCGAGGAAGCATCAAGCGAGAGCGCGATTCCTGAGTAAAATGCGAGGAAGTCTCTGGCGGGAGCGGGGTCCTGGCTAAATTGTCAGGGGGTCGCTTGCAGGAGCCGTAAGAGAAAAAAAGTACGAGCCCAAGGGAAGCATTTCAATTGAAACAACACAGCGGTCATGGGAAAGGGGAGGGGGGCGAGCAGTAATTATTTTTCAGTGTGAAATATCAACAACAACGGCAACAACAACAAGATCAACAACAGGTCGGCGCTTCTGTGGTCGCTTGGGGGGGGGGAACCGGACCCCCACCCCCCGTGGATGGAGGGGGGGGGTTCGAACCCCCCCGTTTCCCCCGTGACGGATGGGGGGTGGGGATCCGAACCCCCCCCCTCCTTTCCATGACGGGGGGGGGTCAGAACCCCCCCCCTGCGTCCCCTCTCCTCGGGCCGGCGCTTGCGTCGGCGGCGGCTGGCGACGGCGGCGGGGACGACGATTCCAATTTCTGGGCCGGCGCCAGCCGGCGCTTGCGGCGGCGGGCGGCGGTGGCGGGGAGCGTCCACGAGGACGACGGTGGTGGTGGTGGTGGTGGTGGTGGTGGTGGTGGTGGTGGTGGTGGTGGTGGTGGTGGTGGTGGTGGTGGTGGTGGTGGTGACGGTGGGTGCCGGTGGTGGGTTGTGGTGGTGCGGTGGTGGCGGCGGTGGTGGTTGTGGTGGTGGTGGTGTGGTGATTTGTTGTGGTGGTGGTGGTTGCGGCGGTTGGTGGTGGTGGTGGTTTGGGGGTTGGTGTGGTGGTGGTGGTGGTAGTGGTGGTGGTGGTGGGTGTTGTGGTGGTGGTGGTGGTGGTGGTGGTGGTGGTGGTGGTGGTGGTGGTGGTGTGGTGGTGGTTTGCGGTGGTGGTGGTGGTGGCGGTGGTTTGTGGAGGTGGTGCTGCTGTTGGTGGTGGCGGTGGTGGTGTTGGTGGTGGTGTGGTGGTTTGTGGTGGTGGTGGTGGGTCGTGCTGCTGGTAGTGGTGGTGGTTGTGGCGGTGGTGGTGGTGGTGTGGTAGATTGTGGTGGTGGTGGTGGTAGTGGTGGTGGGTTTTTGTTGTGGTGGTGGTGATGGTGAGTTGTGGTGGTGGTGTTGGTGGTGGTGGTGGCTGTGGTGGTGGTGGTGTTGGTTGTGTGGTTATGTTGGTGGTGGTGGTGGGTTGAGGCGGTGGTGGTGGTGGTAGCGGTGGTAGTGGTGGTAGTGGTGGTAGTGGTGGTAATCGTCGCTGCGTCCCCGCCGTCGCGGGCACCAGCGCCGGCGCTGCTGGCCGGCGCCAGCGCCGGCGCCGGCACGAAGGGGTGGGTGGGTTGGAACCCCCTCCCCTGGCGCCAGGGGGGGGGGGGTGAAACGATCCCCCCCCCCCCTTTTCTTCAGCTGCCTCTGGTCATCGTCGCTGTGTCCCCGCCGTGGGCGCTGCTGGCGGCCGCCAGCGCCGGCGCCGGCGCCGGGGTTTGAACACCCCCCCCTTTGGGAAGGGACGGGGGGTTCGGGAGGGGGGGTTGGGGGGGAAGGGGAGTCCCCCTGGTTTTGATCGACGGCGCCGAGTGTTGGGGGGGGGGCCCACCCCCTCGGCTTGAAACGCGCCGCCGAACGCAAGCGCCCGTGAAACGCGTTTTCTCGCACCTGCCAGGGTCACATTTGGCCAGCGACTAGGGGTGGGTGAGAGGAGGGCGCTTCCTCAGGACCAGGAGTGGTCGTTAGGGGGTCAGGCCCTCCCTGCCGATCGGCATGTGCTGGCCGATCCCCGTCCGCACGGGGCCGGCGACGACGTGGGCGGGAGGTTTGGGGAGGAAAAGGTCACGATACCGCCGTCTTTGCCCGACGGGCCTCCAAGGTCTTAGCGTCGGTGAGGCGACGGACCGTGCGAGGCCCTCCAGATTTCGAGGTCACCGTAAGGTCTGTCACCGCGCCTCTCTCGGGCCACCCGCCTCGGGGCCCCACCCGGGCCCCGGGACACTCACAACCGACCCACGATGATCTAGGCCTCCCAGATGGGGTCCGAGTAGATGGGGTCGGAGGATCGCGCCGCATCGCCGATGCATCGGCGATGCAGCTTGATGCGGAGCCCGACGTTCGCCACGCCAACGGCGCCAATGCATCGCCGACATCGCCGACGTATCGCCAATACATCGGTGATGCATCAGGGATGCGGCGCGATCCTTCGACCCCAACTTCTCCGACCCCATCTGGGAGGTCTCTAGAGGAAAGAGCTGTCCAGGGGGAAAGCCCCAGGTTCCAGGGCCCGTTTTCATCAGGACACGTTTCTCTCATCCCGCGCAGTGTCGCAGCCCCAGACAGCTTCAAGACGGCCCAAGAGAACTCCACTTTCGCTCCCCCGAGGGCCCCAAGAGGCAAAAACCATTGATTTGCCATGACTTGGTCAATATTTCTTGGACTCGACTTTCGAGCTTCCGACGCTCCACGACGTCCCAAGAGGCCTCCTAGACCGCCCCAAAACGGCCCCAGAGACGCCCCACCAGATCACCGCATTTCCCGACCCACAGGGGTAGGTCGTGCGGTGGGGCCAAGGCCGTGCCAATCAGGATAGGATCGATCAAGCGATGCTCTTGCCCAGCAGCGGTCGCCGCCGTCGACCGAGCGACATCGACAGGCCGAGGATGGATCGTCGAGGGTCGGGGACAGGGTGGAGGTCGAGGGTCGAGGGTCGAGGTCATCGCCGTCCTCGATGGATCGCTTGGTTGCGCGAGGATCAATCGACCCTAGATCAATCGCTCGCTTGGTCGACAGTTTTTGACCGGTCGAGCGTTCGTTGGATCGGCCATTGATCCACCGTTCGTTCGCTTGATATGTTGTCGTCGCGGTGTCTGCGGGGGGGAGGGCGGGGGGAGGCGAGCCGCGTTTTTGTTGGGGGGGCTTGCCTGGGAGCGCGGTCCCGTGCCACGTCCCGTGGCACGTTCCCTGACGCGTTCCCTGGCACGTCCCTTGGCGCGTCGCCTGGCGCGTTCCCCGGCGCGTCCCGTGGCAAGCCCCCCTGGCACGTCGCGCGGCGCGTCCCCTGGCAAGTTCCCGTGGCACGTCCATTGGCACGTTCCGTAGCGCGTCCTTTTCGCACGTCCCGCAGTGCGTCCCCATGGCAGCACGTCCCCTGGCACGTCCCTTGGCGCGTTCCTTGGGACGTTCCGCGGGGCGTCCCCCTGGCATCTCCCCCATGGGATCGCCCAGTGGTCCTTCGAAACGGCTACGTGCCTCGCAGTTTTCAATAGTTCTCCGGATTCGTGGGCCGACCATGTTTGCAGTGTTGCGAGGGTTCACGGAGGCAAGGCCCGACAGGCAGAGTTTCGCCGCGAAAGTTGTTTGCGCTGCCCTCATGAACCTCATCAGCATGTGTCTGGAGGAGGTACAATGCGAACGTTTCCCTTGTTTGTGCCTCGCGATGGTCAAGGCCCACTCCAAGACCTCCCAGGACCTCCCAGACTCCGACAAGCGGGACATAGCGGGGGACGGCTTAGCCGATGTAGAGATTCCGCGAGGAGCCCTCATGCACCTTGAGTCCCAGAACATAGAAGTTGTGTTTACCCTACTGTATGATACATGGATTTCGGCTGCCAAGAATATGTGTAAAATGTTAGAGCTGCTGCCTGGATCCAAGGAGCTTCTAGGCGACCCCAGTAGGACCCCCAGAGCTAGAGCTCCGCGGCCCTTGAGTCCTGGGGCCCTGCATCGCATGCTCTGGAACAGAGCGCGCTGGCAATGCATGGCTTGCGCTAGGTGTTCCAGGGCCCCCCGTGGCAGCAGCAGCAGCAGTGCGCGCGGTCAATCAACTCCGAGTCGTTTGGCCTTTCGGGACCAGCCAGGGCCTGGCAAGGCCAATGTCCTTCGGTTTGCCCGCTCCGTGAAAACGGGGGTGGGCATTGTTGCCTGAAATAGGTGCGGAGCTCACTGCTCGGGCACCCCTCGTCGTTTCCTGGGGCCTTGTGGCAAGGTTTTCGAGGTTCAGAAGAGAATGATTGCCACGGGGAAGCCCCCGTGGCCGAAGGGCCACCATATCTCATCACCTTGGGCCCTCAAGGCGGGGGGGACGGAGTGGTGGGAGGTGGTGACCATGGGGGTCTCCTGCCGGCTCTGGTGTCTTTGCGTTTCAAGCCCTCTTCGTGTTTGTTCGTCGGCAGGTGCCGAGGCGGCGCAAGAGATGACAAAGAGGTTGAACAAAAGGGCTTGGATGGGGTGATGAGGATGGGGTGGAGGGTGGGAATGGTGTTGAGGAGAAGGGAAGAGTGGAGGGATAGGGGAGAGGGAGTAGCACCCGCGGCGGGCGCGCTATTTCCCCCAAGCGCCCGCGCGAGGTCCGAAGAAGGCACCGACGAACTCCGCAAGTTGAGCAGGCCACGAACCGCCTTGAGCAAAGTGAGGGTTCAGGCAGGGCGGGCCCAGCGGGACGACGCAGAGGAGGATATGATGATGGTTGTTTCATGCGGAGGATCGGTAAGGGGAAGACGAGAAAGAACCTTCTGAGGAAAAGGCGGGGCAGAGGGACGAAAGGGAGGAGGAGGAGGAGGAGCGGCACGATGGGTAGGAGGGGGTTGGAAGAGGAGGAGGAGGAGGAGGAAAAGGGCGAGGAGTGGTAGTGGGAGGTGGTGGAGCCCGAGGGATGGGCGCTGAGGAGTGTGAGGATGAGATGGCCGATGATGCGGAGCAGGAGTTGGCGTCTGCACAGGAAAAAGGCGGGGCAGGACTCGTGAGCTCCACGGGAGGACCGATCCGTGGGAGGACGAGCATTCGACCCGCGGAGCTCGCTGCCAGCCCTGGGGTCGCGGAGGGCAGCCAAAGGGGGGCCAGAAACACGGATTCGACGCGGATAGGGGCGTGACGGGACAGGCAGGGTCTCCCGAAGACCCGTCGCGCCCCTATCCGCGTCGAACCCGTGTCGAATCCGTGTCGGACTCGTCGAATCTGCATCGAATCCGCGTCGAATCCGGGGCAGAAAGGGGCCAGAAAAGGGCAGCCAAAGGGGGACCCTGTTCCTCCAGATGACCTGTGTCTTTCCCGTTGAGCGTGCGTGCGCGGGGCTCTTCGGGCGGGGCCAGGGCGAGGACGAGATCCCTTCCGGAGCGCTCTGGAACGCTCCCAGAGTGTTCCGGGGGGCGCTCCGAGAGGGCCGAGGCGCCCCGAGACGCTTTCCAGAGCCGCCGGATCTGAGAGATTCCCGATCGATCCTCGGCCCTTGCTCGCCCCTCCTCCCCAGCCCCGGCCGGGCCCCGGAGCGGGGCGCACGCGCCACGTGGCCGGGCCGAGAGCGCGCATGCACCGCTCCGAGGCTCGGTCAGGAGCGCCGTGGGGTGCTCCGCCGATGGCGCCCGAGCTCGGCGACCGGAGCCCAGGCCAGGGGGGCCATACAAAACGACGCGAAGATCGGGACAAAATCGGATCGGGATAACTCGAAATCTCTGAGAGTCGGCGGGTTTGGAGGATGTATTGGGCGCCGCGGCCGCTCCAGAGCGTTCCGGAACGCTCTGAGAGCGCTCCGGAACGCTCTGGAGCGATTTATCCCGATCTTAGCCCTGTTTTACTAGGGGGCCACATGCGAACCCCACCCCAACCCCCCACGGTTCGTTCGTGGGGGGGGGGTCGCTCCGTTCGTGGGGGGGGGGGGGGGGGGGGTTCGCTTCGTTCGGGAGCTCCCGAGCGAAGTGAGCCCCACCCTCCCCCTCGGAAGTCGTGGGGGCTAGGGATGGGGTTCGCATGTGGCCCCCTACAGGCGTGCTCGCGTCGTGAATTGTTTGTTGTTGCTTGCGTCGGCGGCTAGGCAGGGGGACGTCTGCGCTGGCGATGGGATGCCTGAGCGGGGATGCCGTTGCAGCGGAGTGTGCCACCCGTGCAGGAGGAGGAGTGGGGGGAGGCGCGGCCCGCAAAAGGGGCGGACGGAGCGAGCGGCTCCGGGGGGGGGGGGAGACGGATCGCTCGCGTCATGCCACACACATCGGGGTGGGAGGTTTCTGGCCGTTTTCGGCCTCCGGGGCTCCGGGGGCCCTCGCCGGGCTTTCTCACACTCAAACTCATACACACTCAGAGTCTCGAGCGCTCAGACTCACTCACACTCAGACTCACTCGCACAGACCACTCACACTCAGGCTCGTCTCACCGCTGGTTTCAGCACCCCAAGGTGGCGGGGACCATGGGCTGTTGCACGGGCCCGTTCGCGGACAGCCAGGAATGAATGAATGAATGCAAGCCGGGTGTCAAAGCACATGGGCAGTGACGCAACGCTGTGGGCAGTAGCGCCGCACGGCGGCTTTCCAGTCTTCTGCTGGGATTGCCGCGAGCTGTTGGACGTCATACGCACTGCTGTCACAGATTCTCTCCGCATGTTTGTACAGTTCATTTGAGCAAGACTGCTTCGGCCTTCCCCGGGGTCGTCTGCCACCCGGACCGCAAACAAAATCGACGCGGGATGAAAGTCTGGTCTTGTGGGGGGAGTGGGTCGGGACTTCCAGGGACCGCGCATTCGCAAAGTCAGGACACTGCATGTTTGGGAAAGGGTGCGGTTACGCCGGGGTGTGGATTGCGATCGGCACCGTTGGGGCTTGGGGAGCACGACGCTGTCCTCGTCGGGCCTCCTCGGAGCGCCGCGGAGAGCCCTGTCGAGGCCCCCAGGGAGCCCCAGGGGGTGCCGTGTGCAGACCACACCCTTCGCGCACACCACACCTCTTCGGAGTCGCCGACGACCCCTCGCGGAGGCGGGACCTCTGCGAGATCAAGCAGTTCACGAAGAACCCCCCCGACGCCATCCGCCGCACCCTGGTCGCTGCGTGGCTGCTCCTGAACGGTGCGCCGCCGCGACGCCGCCGCCGCCGTGCCGCCGCGCCGCCGTCGTCGTCCTCGTCGTCGCCGTTCTCGTCTTCACGTCCACGTCGTCGTTCCCCTCTCCGCATTCCCTGCCTGCAGTTTTTTGCAGGGGAGGGGCGGGCGGAGGGAGGTGTGGGGACTCTGGGGGCGACCCGGGAGAGCAAGAAGCCTCGCTCCTCGCTGCTGCTCCTCCTCCTCCTCCTCCTCCTCCTCCTCCTCCTCCTCCTCCGACTCCTCCTCCTCCTTCTCCTGCTCCTCCTCCTCCTCCTCCTCCTCCTCCTCCTCCTCCTCCTCCTCCTCCCCCTTTCTCGCTCCCTTGCTCGCTCGCCTGACGAGGGCTGTACAATCTTGCCCGTGCCAGGGAAAACGAGGAGCAGGAAGCACGCATCAAGATGCGGAGGAAGGGGTGGGCGACCAGAGGCCCAGAAGCTCGGGGGGGGGCCATCCACATCGCCGCCCCTGACCCACACCCCGACTGGTGGCAGCAGCCGTCGGAGAGTTCAGGGGCACGGAAGAGAGGAGACTAACAGGGCCATGAGGTCACGAGCCCTTGACGGGCACCGAGGCGGAGCAATTACAAGGGGGCGCAGAAGTTGGCCTGCGGGGCTCCAATGGGAGGCTCGCGGCAGAAGTGCACGCTGGGAGCGCGTAGCGTCGCGCCTCGGGACGGGAAGGGGCAAGAGAAGGGAAAAGGAGGAGGAGGAAGAGGGGGAGGAGGAGGAGGAGGAGGAGAAGGAGGAGCAGGAGGAGGAGGAGGAGGGGGAATGGGGGGAGGAGGAGTGACGGAGGTGGAGGAGGAGGAGTAGGGGTATTGGGGGGAGGAGGAGTGACGGAGGATCTTCCGTCGCCTCTTTATCCAGCCGCTCCAACCCTCCCGGGGAGGAGGACGCCCCCCCCTCTCCCCCATCCCCCGCAGCCGCAGGCGACCGCTTTGCTGGCAGCGAGCGCGTGAGCTTCGACGAGGCCCTGTTTGCGGCGGGGAGGAACGAGGAGGTGCAGGAGGAAGAGGAGGAGGAGGAGGAGGAGGAGGAGGAGGAGGACCAGCGTAAACCCAATATTCACCGTCGATGGTGCAGTAAACGCTTCCTCCAAATTCTCGTCTGCATGGGTCCGTACAGGGATGTGCCTTCTCTGCGCGAAGTGCCCCGTTGGAAGACAAGCGCCTGAACATCTTCAACCGTACCAAAACACCATTCGTGGGACTTCAACGTCGTGAATCAACGTTACCGTCGCGACCTGACAGTCGTGAATTGTGCCAGAATGCTTGTTCTGGGACACCAACACCGCGAATCATTATGACTGTCGCGCCGTGACAAGCCTAAGTCGGGCCAAAATACCACTTCTGGGGCGCCAGCCACAAGAATCCTTCGAGAATCTTTCGGAACTATTGCTGCAAACTATTAAGGCGCTCAGGCGAGAGCCACAGTTTGAAAACGAGCCACCCTCCCATCCGTTGAACCCCTGCTAACTCTTAAGATGAACGCGCGAGGCGCTGAGGCGAGGGCCGCGTGTTCTACTTGAACGACCCGCCCTCCATCCATGAAGCTCTTGTAAACTCTTATAGAGGAGGGAGGAGGAGGAGGAGGAGGAAGAGGAGGAGGAGGAGGAGGAGGAGGAGGAGGAGAGCGTGGGAGGGCGAAGGGGGTGGGGGAGGGAGGCTCGGTTCGGTCCTCCTCGAAGGGAGTGATGGAGAAGGCGGATGAGGATACTAAGGGTTGTTGAATGTCTGGGGGAATGGTTTTAGACGATGTTTGCCTTGCTGGGCTTCTGCAGACCTCGTGGTACATTCCAGGGGCCCATGAGAGGAGGAGGACGAGGAGGAGGAGGAGGAGGAGGAGAAGGGTGAGGCTGATGTTTGGGCAGTGTTAAGGAAGAGGGGGACGACTGGGAGACGAGAGAGGGAAACAGGACACACAGTTCCAGGGGTGCTCTGCGTATGGCTATTTGGTGCTTGGGGCATCACGCTTCAACCTACGAAGGTGAGCTGCGACAAGGTACCAGGGCCTCCTTCTGCCCCCCTCCTCTTTCCCCTGGGTCTTCGGTTTCTTCGAGAAGCTTGCACCATGTCGCCGACCCACCAGATTAGCAGATGTACGGCTTCCGATCTCGTATACAGTCAGCGCGCTGAACGAGGACGCGCGCCTTCATCCAGGGTGCGCTTGTGTCGGTGCCTCTGCAGCTGGGTCTCTGCCGTGTTCAGTGGTCGCCCGCCGCCCCCCCCCAAAAAAGAAAACGTTCGGCCTCCAAGGGCCTTGCGTTCCTTACCACTCGTCCTCACGATACGGTTTGACTATATGTTGCCTGCCGCGCCCCTCCGCGTCTCATGCTTCTCTCCCCGATCCTGATGATGTTCCAACCTACTATAGTACGATCCTCGCTCGATCCTCATGACCCTCAATCCTTGAGTACGATGGGAGCAACATGACTCGATCCTTCTTCATCTCAGACAGAAGAGCAGCGACGGCGGCGGCCGTCACAGCCACGGGGTGAGCGCGGTTGCAGCGTTGTTGTATGTGTCAGAAGCTGCTCGTCCTACGGTCGGGCAGGGAGATAGAATCGAGGTCGGCTCGGGGAGGGTGCCCCAATGTTTTTCGGGTTCGTCGGAAGTTCTTGTGCATCCTGGGGGGGTGTACCCTCGCACGGTCTCTGTGTGTGTTGGCAGGCGGAGGGTCTGATATTCTTGAAGCCGGTGCTTCTGTCACAGGCCCGACCGTATGGTTAAGTCGGGCGTGTCCATCTACAGGAGGAGTATTCAAACATAGTTCAAGCATAGTCTGGGGACGAGGTGTGTTTCTAGTATATTTGTGCACTTTTGATGTTTATGTTTGATTACTTTTATCTGTCGTTCAAAATCCGCCTGTAGGGGGACATGCCAGACCTGACCGTAGGGCCGAACCTCCTTGGGCCCAGCGCCCGCACGGCCACCTCTCGTCATTACCCACCTTTCCATCATTTGTATTATCTGCACCCCCTCACCCTTCTGAGCCCTACGCCCCAAACCAGCCAGGGAGGGGAGTATTTGGCCCTCGGAGGCGCCGTGTTCGTGACGGGTGGGCCCAGCGATTTCTATACCGATTGCTTGAATGTGCATAAGCAGTATCATGCCCCTGGTTTCTGCAATCAGATCAGCTATAAGCTGGTCTACAGCGGGATGGTCATGCAAGCACTTCCCCAGGCCTCCTTGGTCCGCAGCTTTACCAAGGGACAAAAATACTTCCCCCGGTCAAAATCAGACTTTCCCCGGGAAAATCGAACACTCCCCGGTGCAACCCTTCCCCGGCTTGACTCCCCGGTAGAATCTGTGAGAGGCGTTTGAGAGGCTTCTGAGAGGCTTCTGAGAGGCTTCTGAGAGGCTTCTGAGAGGCTTCTGAGAGGCTTCTGAGAGGCTTCTGAGAGGCTTCTGAGAAGCTTCTGAGAGGCTTCTGAGAGGCTTCTGAGAGCCTTCTGAGAGCCTTCTGAGAGACTACTACTACCACTACTACTCCTACTCCTACTCCTCCTACTACTACTACTACTACTACTACTACTACTGCTACTACTACTACTACTATTACTACTACTACTACTACTCCTTCTACTGCTACTACTGCTACTACTACTACTACATCTACTACTACTACTACTACTACTACTACTACTACTACTACTACCACTACTACTACTACTGCTACTGCTACTACTACTGTTGTTACGACGAGTACTACTACTACTACTACTACTACTACTGCTGCTGCTGCTACTACTACTATTACTACTGCTACTACCACTATTATTATTACTACAACTACTACTACAACTACTACTACTACTACTACTACTACTACTACTACTACTACTACTACTACTACTACTACTACTACTACTACTACTACTACTACTACTACTACTACTACTACTACTACTACTACTACTACTACTACTACTACTACTACTACTACTACTACTACTACTACTACTACTACTACTACTACTACTACTACTACTACTACTACTACGACTACTACTACGACTACTACTACTACTACTACTACTAACTACTACTACTACTACTATTACCTACTACTACTACTACCACCACTACTACTACGACTACTACTACTACTACTACTACTACTACTGCTACCCCTGCTACTACTACTCCTCCTCCTAGTACTACTACTACTACTACTACTACTACTATTACTTACGACTACTACTATTATTATTTCTACTACTACTACTACTACTACTACGACTACTCCTGCTACTACTACTCCTCCTCCTAGTACTAACTTTGCTGCTACTACTACTACGACTACTGCTACTACCACTACCACCACTACTACTACTACTACTACTACTACTACGACTACTACGACGACTACTACTACTACTGCTACTACTTCTAGTACTACTACTACTACTACTACTACTACTACTACTACTACTACTACTACTACCACCACCACCACCACTACTACTACTACTACTACTACTGCTACGACTTTTACTAGTACTACTACTACTACTACTACTACTACTACTACTACTAGTACTACTACTACTACTACTACCATTACTACTACTACTACTACTACTACTACTACTACTACTACCAGTACTACTACCACTACTACTACTACTACTACTACGACTACTACTACTACTACTACTACCACTACTAATACCACTACCACTACCACTACCACGTCCACTACCACAACCATTACCACGATCATTTCCACCACCATTACCAATACCAGTACTACAACGCGCCAGCACACCGAGATCAGACATTCCCCGGTATGTTTTTTTTTCGGAAGCCGAATGGTCACACGTAAGCCAACCAGCTGGCTTTCGAAGACTCTGCAGCCCGACCCCGCTCGAAACATTCGCAAAAGAAGCGCCGCAGGAATCGTACATTCCCCGGTGCTACAGGGGAATGTCCGTTTCTCCCGGGGAATGTCCGATTTTCCCGGGCTAAGTACCGAACGCTTAACCAAGGTGAAGGCTCACCAGAGTTTCGAAGCTGATTTGCCTCCCCTGGAGGCTTTTCACCGCTTGGGCAACCATGCGGCCGACCTTGCTGCGAAGCGAGGAGTCCTCCAACATTCCGAGGCCCCGCCAGAGCTGCAAGTGTTGGTCGGCCGTGACATCAAGGTTGCCAAGGCGGTGGCGCGTTTGTCTGCTCACCTCCTCCCGCTCTGGCTTCGCCTGGAGCTCAAGGGGGTGCCTTTGATCGTCCCTCCGCGTCCTGCTGCCGTGGCCCGATCGGGCCATCGTTGGGCGAGGGTGATTCTCTCTGGCAGTGCACACAGTGTCTGTGCGCGAGGCGCTCTGCGGCAGAGCCGCCTCCTGGCGTCTGTTCTCATCATTGCCGCGTCAACGTCACTCGTCTGTTGCAGCTCGGCCATAGGTGCTGGGTAGTGGATTGCAGTGACGATTCTTTCGTTTGATTTTGTCAGGTGTGCAAGAGCTACACCTCAGGGCTGCGGCTCGCTCATCTCGCGAGTCGTTGCACGGGCCCTCCTGTCAACAAGGATGGATTACCCAGGACACCCGACGCCTGGGCTAAACTCCTTGTCGGGCCGCCATCCGAAGCGGCCCAGGGTGACTGTTCTGTCCAGCACGATGGCCGCTCTGTGCCCGTGAGCCCTCGGGGGGGCGGTTGGTCCCCCCTGGGCTCGTGGATGCCATTGGCTTCGTGCTGGCCTGTCGCCTGTTCGCTGCTCCTGGCCTCGCTTGCGCGACTCAGGAGTGGGAGCTTTCCGCGCCTCGCCGCTCAGCCTGTCTGACTGGGGGTTGGAGGTGCTCTGCTGCGGCGGTGCGTGTTGAAAAATCTTCGACCTCCTCGGTATGGTCCTTCCTCGTTGTCTCCTTCCTGCCTCGTCGTCGTCAGCGCACCCCTCGTCGTGCTGGACCTCCTCACCCTCTGCGAAGCAACTCACGAAGCCACCCGTCTCTGTTGCAGCTGTGTGATGGAA